GAGTGAGCGAGCGAGCGAGAGAGAGAGTACATGAGCAGGGGCAGAGGGAGAGGAAGAGGGAGAAGCGGGCTCCCCGCTGAGCAGGGAGCCTGACGTGGGGCTCGATCCCAGGACCCTGGGATCATGACCTGAGCCGAAGGTAGGTGCTTAACTGACTGAGCCACCCAGGTGCCTCCCCCCTTTTTTTTTAATGTCTGCAGGGTCTATAATGATATCCCTTTCTTCATTGCTTAATATTGGTATTTTGTGTCTTCTTTCTTCATTTTTTCTTTATCAATCTTATATTTGTCCATTTTATTGATCTTTTCAAAGAACCAGCTCTTTTCATGTTTCTCTCTATTGTTTTTCCTTTTTCACTTTTATTGATGACTGCTCTTTATCCTTCCTCCTGTAATTTTGATTTTATTTTGCTATCTTTTCCTGGATGCTTGAGATGGGAGCTTAGATTTTCCTTCTTTTGTAATATATGTATTTGTGATATAAATATCTCTCTCAGTATTGCTTTAGCTGTGTCCTACAAACTTTGATATGTTGTATTTTTATTTTCCTTCATTTTTAAAACTTCCTTTGAGATTTCTTCTTTGACCCACGGATTATTTGGCAGTGTGAAGGCCAGCACTATGGAGTTATTCCCAGTGCCAGTGGCTTTCCTCATTGCAGGAGGCAGGACACAGAGCAAGAAGTGACTGCTGGTCACTCTTCCCTGCATGGGAAGCACCAACAGCCATTGGTTCTGGAACCTTCCAGAAAGAAGAGGACCCATGCATATTTTCTCCCTCCACCCCCATATACAATTTTCTTCTAAAGGAATGTCAAGGGATCAGGCAGGAATCTAATAAAGGTCTCTGAAAACAATGTCTCTCCATTTGAAAAGTAAACTATGTCTTTAAATGCATTAACTCCATGGAGAAATAAATGTAATAAATCAAATTTAATCCCTGCCCCCCCAAAAAAAAGTGTGTTGTTTAGTTTTCAAGTGTGTGAAGATTTTCCTATTATCGTTGTTTTTGATTTATAGTTTAATTCCATTGTGGTAGGCAAATACACTCTGTATACAGTTTCAATTCTTCTCATTCTTTTGCTGATATTTAAGGCCTACATTTGAAGAGAATGTGTATTCTGTTATTGTTGAGTGGAGTATTCTATAAATGTTGATTGGATTTTGTTGGTTGATGGTGATATTGAGTTCTATATTCTTGCTGATTTCCTACCAATTGTTCTATCAGTTACTGAGGGAAAGTTGTTGAAGTCTCCGACTGTAATTGTGACTTTGTCTATTTCTCCTTTCAGTTCTTCAGTTTTTGCTTCACATATTTTAGAGCTCTGTTGTTTGATGCATATAGATTTAGGACTGCTATGTCTTCACAGTGGATTGACCCTTTTATCATTATATAATGTTCCTCGGTCTCTGGCAATTTCCTTTATTCTGAAGTCTACTCTGTCTGATGTAATAGCCACTTCTGCTTTCCTTTTATTAGTGTTTACATGGTATATCTTTTTCCATTCTTGTACTTTCAACCTGCCTGTATCATTATATTGGACATTAGCTTCTTGTAGATAGCATATAATTGGGCCATTTTTTTAGTCCATTCCGTCAAGCTCTTTTTTTTAATTGATACTTAAATCATTTACATTTAATGTAGCTATTGATATGTTAGCATTTAAGATTGCTATTTTATTTTTTGTTTATTCTTTTTTGTCTCTGTTTTTCATTTTCTCTGTTTTCTTTTTCCTGCTTTCCTTTGGGTCACTTGAACATATTTTAGAAATCCATTTTGATGTTTTTTTTGAGTGATGTATTTTATGTGTTCTGAGTACATAGCTTTTTCCATAGCTATTTTAGTAGTTTCTTCATCTCTCAACCTCTCTCTCAGTAAATATATAGAGCTCATCATAGTCCACTGAGATCATCCTTTTACTAGTTTGAATGAAGTATAAAAAACTTCCCTTTATGTCCTTTCTGTTTATAGTTGTCTTAAATATTTCCTCTACATATATTTAGAACCACATCAGTTGCTTGAACTAGCAAACATAATTCAGAAAACCTAAAAGGAGAAGGAAAGCTATGATGTTTACCAATATTTTTGCTTACTATGCTCTTTTCTGATGTTCCAAGATTCCTTCTTTATCCTTTCCTTTCTGTTTAGAGACTTCTTTTAGTCATTCTTTTAAGGTAGTTCTGTTAGTGACAGATTCTTAGTTTTCCTTCATCCTGAGAATGCCTTGATTTCCCCTTCATTCCTGAAGGGTATTTTCACTGGGTGTGGGACACTGTGTTGACAATTATTTCCTTTCTGTAGTTGAAAATACTGTGTGCCATGTCCCTTTGGTCTCCAGGTTTCTGATGAAAAATCCACTGCTGTTCTAATTGCTTTTCTGCGGTAGGTAAGGTGTTGATTTTTTCTTGCTGCTTTCAAGACCTGTCTTTAGTTTTCAAGAATTTATGATGTGTTTTGATGTGAATTTCTTTGGGTGTATCCTGTTTGGAGTTTTCTCAGCTTCTTAAATCTGTAGGCTTATGTCTCTTTCAAGTTTGGGAAATTTTCAGCCATTATTTCCTTTTCCATCCATACCCTCTCTCTCCTTTCCTGGCCTCCATGACACAAATGTGAGATCTTTTGTTTTATCCTCACAGGCCCTTGGGACTCTGTGTTTTTCAGTTTATTTTATATCTGTTGTTCAGATAAGTAATTTCAATTCTATTATCCAGTTAACTAATTCTTTCCTCTATATTCTGCATTGAGCATATCTATTCAGCTTTTTATCTCAATTATTGTCTTTCTGTAGTTCTAACATTGCCACTTGGTTCTTTTTTATATTTTCTATCTTTTGCGAAGTCTTTCTATTTTTTCATTTGTTTCAAGCATGTGTGTAATTATTTGTTGAAGCATTTTTATCATGGCTTTTTAAAAATACTTATCAGGGGCACCTGGGTGGCTCAGATGGTTAAGTGTCTGCCTTGGCTCAGGTCATGATCCCAGAGTCCTGGGATCAAGTCCTGCAACGGGCGCCCTGCTCCTTGGGAGCCTGCTTCTCCCTCTGCCTCTCTCTCTATCTCTCATCTCTGTCTCTCATGAATAAATAAAATCTTTAAAAAAAAGAAATAAAAATAAAGAATAAAAAAAATAAAAATACTTATCAGATCTGTTATCTTTGGTCTTGTCTTTTTTCATTCATTTGAGATCTTCCTAGCCGTCAACAGAGGATTTGGCTGACTTGGCTCACATTCTTTCCCCTTTTTGGAAATATTTTCAAAAATAAAATTAAGAACATTTGAGATCTGCTTAGTTCTTGGTATGCTGAGTGGGTTTCTATTGAAACTGGAAGGTTTATGTCATGTTATGAGACTCTGGATCTTATTTAAACCTTCTGTTGTAGTTGGTTTCCTCTGATACCTCTGTGGAGATAGATGTCTAGCTTCCCATTCACCCTTCATTGACACCCAAGTAGGGGCTTCTTTTTGTTGAGGGCAGGGGGGTGGGGTGGGAATCTGTTTCTCTATGTATTCTCCACTGATACCACTGGAGTGGACAGGTTCTCAATTTGACCTTCCCTGACAACTGGTGCAGTGTTACAGCCTACTGAGGGTGGACATCAAGCTCCCATTCAGCCTTTGCTGGCCTTAGTGCGGGCGGGGCCAGAGTTTTCTCTGTGGTGTTTGGCTGTAACAAAGCAGTTGTCTAAATGTTTTCTTCTTGCTGAGCTTCTCTTTTCCTAGTGCTTTAGCTAGAGAGAGCAGGTCTCTGTTGGGGCTATTTTTGTTTGTTATTGGTGTTTCTGGGTTGCTGGACTCTTCAGCTCCATGTCTGGGATAATGAGGCAGGAGGAAACCAAGGAACTCAGCACCGTATCATTGCTCAACTCCCAAGATCCCTACCAGTCTGTCTTTTCTCTCCACAGGTCTCCTTATGTTTGCTTTGTACATAGCATCCAGGGTTTTTAGCTGTACTTACCAGGAAGAATAGGGAAAAGCATATTTACTCCATCATCCAAAAGTGAAAATGCATCAAATTTTTTTTTTTTCAAATGCTCTCAGGTGAGTCTAATGTACAGGGAAGGCTGAGAACCATCAGGTGGCAGTGACTTGGCTCAAGTAGCACCAACTTCAGGCTGTCTTTGAAAGCACCTTTCATAAAGGTGATTGCTATCCCCATAAAGGGATGTGATACTGTTCCTTTGACTCCCTGCTCAGCCCGGCTCCAGGGGAAGCAGGGTCGCCCAACTAAGGGTAGCCCATACTCAAGACTTCAGTGACTGCTGACAGTGGTCTTGAGGGGATTACTCTAACAGCCAGTGTGGCAGCTATTTTCCCAGGAGGAGAGGGGCTATTATTAGGGTTAGTGTACTTATGCTTCTCATGTGGCTGGCAAAGTCCTGGGTGTAGTTCACCTCAAGCTATGCATTTATCTTGTGTGGTTTTCTGCATCTGTGTTTTATTTTACAATTAAAAAAAGGTTTTAAAAATAATTTTTAATGGTGTTGAGCTTCTGTTACCTGCCATTCACAGTGTCTGACGTGGCCCTTCGTCTCTGCAGGTCTCAGCCCCACAGAGCTGCCATTTGACTGTCTCGAGAAGACGAGCCGAATGCTCAGCTCCACATACAACTCCGAGAAGGCCGTTGTGAAAACATGGCGCCACCTTGCCGAGAGCTTTGGACTGAAGAGGGATGAGATTGGGGGCATGACAGATGGCATGCAGCTCTTTGACCGCATCAGCACGGCAGGCTATAGCATCCCAGAGCTGCTCACAAAACTGGTGCAGATCGAGCGGCTAGATGCCGTGGAGTCCTTGTGTGCGGACATTCTGGAGTGGGCTGGGCTTGTGCCCCTTGCCTCCCAGCCACCCATGACAGCCTGAGGAGGCTGCCTGTGGGCTGTCCTCCCTGGGAGGCACCAAGGATCTAACGAGGGCTCTGGAGCTGTGAGTGCTGCCAACAGACTGCCAAGAATCGAGGCTTTTTCTCCTGTCACCTGGCTTTGCCTTAGGTTGTTCCCAGGAACAAGAGGAAATGAGGCCCGACTTCCAATCTAATCAAAGATAAAAGATTAAAGCTGGGATACTCCCAGCTCCCCACCTGTACCTCATCAGGCAGGACGAATATTTATTCATGAACTCATTCAAGGGATGTTGTTGGGTGCTCAGATGAACCAAACAACGTGAGGATGACAGAGGTGAAGAATCTGGTCCCTGTCTTTAAGGAGTTTACAACCTAGGGAGAGAGAGAAGATGTGTTTACAAACCACCTTGCTAGAGGACATCAAAGAGTCTGGGTGAGGGGATGGTAAGACAACGTAATAGAAGTTCTGAGGGGGGAGATGGCTCCCCATGGGTGATGAAGGAGGGCAGCCCCATGAAGAAAGCAACTTGAAAGCCTGGTGACATGGCTACAAAAGGCAGACGTCTCACTCCATGTAGTGTCAGGGCCAGTACTTGTCTATGGATATCCTGGGTGGCTTCATTGGGATACCTTTGCCTGTTCTTGAAGCCATCTGTACTCCTACAGCCCTTTCAGTCACTAATGGAAGAGTTAACTCTGTGGCCTGCCTTCTGTCCTGACATAGAAGGTGTGTGTTTGTCCAGTTAAGTAGACCTGTGTCTAGTCAGTGGCCGGTTTCACCTACTGCATGAATTCCAGGCCTGCCACCTGGTGGTTTTGTATTACACATGAATTGCTTTCCACTCTCATCCTTAGTCAGGTTTGACCCTTTTGTGGGCAGCAATGCTCAAGAACACAATCCATTTAAATGATGGGTCAGCCTGTTTTTGCTTCAAACAGAAATGAGTGGTCCGCTCTATGTATAAAGAGAAATGGTGACTTCCTAAGAGTTCAGCCATGCATAACTGTAGATTTTGAGCATCCGAGACTTGTGGATAAGCCTTGTGGCATGAGAGCTTCTGAACCAGTCAAGGAATGTGGGGTCTCACAGCACAGGGAGGGCCTGGGCTTAGAATCCAGGGACCTGGTTCTAGTTGTGCCAACGTGGGCCATTTTCTTCTCCCTCCCAGGCTTTAGTTTCTCTTCTGCAAAGGAGAGGTTAGCCTGTGCTCTGTAATCAGGGTAAGTACAGTTCAGGTGGGCAATAGGAAAGTAGGGCTGCAGGAAATGCCAGGCCTTTGAGGTACACATCCAAATGAACACTGTGAGTCATCAAGTTAAATGAGACATGCTTTTAAGCAGAAAAACTCAGAGTAACTGTAGTTGTTTGACACACGTTTAGAGATAAAGTAATACACTGGCATTGTTCTTGGCAAATCCTCTTACTACACCTGCAGTTGCCAAGAGCGTGGGAGCCAGGGTAGTGATCATACCAGGGGGTTAATTTAGAGTTCACTGCTGAGCTTCCTAATGACAGATCTGACTATGGGTTATTACTAAATTAAAACCAGTCTCTGACTTACAAAGCTATGTTTTTAAAATTACAAGTCACATGACTGAGCAAGTGCTTTGGGGGGAGGAAATCAGTCATATGTTTAGAGCCAACAAGCAATTTCCCACCAATGAATGTAGAACATACTGTGATAGGATCATAATTAGGTCCTGAATATTTAATATCATCATTTGCAGTGTCTGTTTGCTGCTGTTTTTCAGAACCTATTTGGTATATCCTGCAAGCTAAATACTCCATGGCAAAATTTAATTCTCCTTTTAATTCCTCTTTGAAATCCTATGGTGCCCCTTTCTCCTGTTTTGTGATAATGATGATGAGAGTCTCCCCCTGAATTGGCTGCAAATGTCACATCTGATGAGCATGCCATTCCAGGGAGACAGCCTGCAGTTTCTCAAGAACAACATTTTCAATGAAGGAGCAGGGGTGGCTGTTCCCAGGCCCAGAGCTTTGCCTCACTTCATGGGGTCGGAGGTCCAGCCAGCATCACAACCATGTTTCAGTGACCCTCAACTCTCAACTTTTAGGGAGCTAGTCCTTATGGAGCTAAACATTCTTTTGTCATTTACTTATTTGGAAACAAATCCAAGAACAGTTTATTTTGATGGACTTTAGCCTACATTATGGAATTCAAATCAATGAGACCATAATGATTATCACTGACCCTCTGGGATTTCTACCCTGCCATTTTGTACGGAGACAGTCATTATTTTGCTATACTTAAAAACATTTAGGGAGCACCCGAAGCTAAGAGCTATGGGCCCTAGCCAGTGAAGTCTTAAATGTCAATAGTTTTGTCTAATTTTGTATATATAACTTATTATATTTTACAATTTCAATAAACTAATAAAAAGATCTACAGACTGCTCCAGTGTGAGTTCTTTCTGGGGGTGGAGGGAGGGAGGAGGTGGGTGAGTGGAGAAGCCTCTGATTACTCTGTGCCCATGTAGACTGCCATGAGACTGCAAGATTGTGACCAGCCTAAATGAATTGCCTACATTTTTATGGCCTGGGCCATGTGCTTGGCAGAAGCAAACATTACACTGAGATTGTATTAAAAAACACCTGGAACCTTGCTTTCCAAGTTGCCGTCACTATATCACTTAGCTACTGCTGTGTAATCCCAAAATACCCAAAATTCAGTGGCTTAAAGCAACAATATATTATTACAGTTCAGAGGTCAGTAAGGATCTCAGCTGACCTGAGTTGGGCTCAGTTGGATATGGCTCATCTGGGGCCTCTGTCTGTTAGGATACTCTCACTGGGGTTGCTCTGTTCCATTGTCCCCCATCCTTGGCCTCAGACCATCATCTAGGCTAGGCATGCCTCCAACATGGCAATGACAGAGGAGCAATAATGAGCAGACACACAAAGTTTCGTCAGGCCTACACCCAGAACTGGCACATCATCACTTCTAGCTCATTCTTTTGGCCAAAGCAAATCATATGGCCAACCCAGAATCAAAGGTAGGAAAATAGACCCCACCCTAACTCTATGAAGAACAAAGTCAAATCACAAAAGGTAAAATATTAGGGCAGACAATGCGAATGTCCACAGGTATGTTTGTTTCCTATGGCTGCAGTAACAAATCACCACAAACCTAGTGGTTTAAAGCAACAGAATTTATGGTCTTACAGTTCTGGAGGTCAGAAGGCCTAAAGTCAAAGTTTGAACGGAGTTGTGTTCCTTACGGAGATTATAGAAGAAAATCTGTTTTCTTGCCTGTTCTAACTTCTAGCGTCTGTCCGTATTCCTTGGCTCATGGATCCCTTCCATCTTCCAGGCCAGCAATCCTGTGTCTCCAACCTCTGCTTCCCTTGTCCATGTCTTTCCCTGACACCCTCCTGCTTCCCTCTCTTTTCCCTTGTGATCACATGGGGCCCACCCACGTAATCCAGAATCATCTCTCCATCTCAAGATCCTTAATCACCTCCGCAAAGTCCTTTTGCCATGTAAGGTCACATAGTCACAAATTGTAAAGGTTAGAGGGTAAATGTTTTTGAGGAGCCATTGGTCTGCCCACCACAATAAGTATGTAAGTGACAGTGCACTATGACAATGTAACATCCTCAGAGGAAGTGTTCTGTCAAAGCATACTTTCAGAGGGGACTGTTTGGTGGTGTGAATACATGTAAACTAAGCAGTGACTGCCTTCCTGCTGGGAACTATGAAGAAAGGATGGACAGCTGGGCTGCAGGTGCTCACCAGCCAGGACTTCGGTGGACCACCTGCCCCCCAACCCTGACTGGGACACATGAGTTTTGCTCTCCTCCACCTCCAGTCTCAATGGTCCAGGGGGATGTGGCAGAGTCTCATGAGAACCCAGTTAGGATTAGAGGGTATCTCTTTATTCAGGGCTCTGCTTAAACTTTTCTTCCCCAAATATTGCTAGTGAATTGTTCACTTTGGCAACAAGGATGACTTTTAGAAGCTTAAGTGAGTTGTTGGCTTTGTGTGGAACATTTGCTGCTCCACTCAATTCATTTGGGGCCCTTCACAGACATCTTGCATTTTTAGTAAAAAGCTAAAATCCTGGTACTCCTTCCTATGTGTTGGAATGCTTTATGGACCAGGAAAATCTGGAAACAGCACAAACACTGTTTGCATTAAAAAAACATTTTTGAGGGTCAGCTACACATTCTGCTGCAAAGAGACCTCATGAGAAGTTCAAGTTTTGTAGGTATTTCATTTTTTAAAAACTTGTAGAGATATAACCAGAGGGTGAAAATTGAGAGAAGGCTTAAAACCATTTTTCTGAGAATAACCTGAGCCTGGCTTGTTACTCAAACTAAAAGTTACATAGTAACTCCAGTGAAACAGATTATTCATGTTCTGTTCTTCCTTGTTTTCTTAATGCTTATCAGCATCACTCATACAGGGTAACAACTTCACTGAGGGTAAAATGTTCCTATTCGCTCATAATCACCTGTGTGGGACTCTTTTAAAGGCAGTTTTGAGTCCTTTCTCTATGCTTTAGTTTTCTCATCTGTAAATAGGGATTTACAGTATTATGCTGTTTTTAGAATTGTGGGAATCACATAATAAAGTACTCCATCTGGCACATGAAAATGTTCAGTAAGTGTTAGCTATCATTACATTGTTATTTAATCTTGAAGGGCATAGAAACTAGTAAACTCACTGCAAAGAACTTTCCAAATGGAATTCAAGTACAAAAGATGATCATGATTACAAAATGATTAGTACAAGGGAAAATGTCAGTGCAGGAGAGAAGAGGCAGTCAGTGTAACCAGAGAAGATACTGGCACACAGATTTCTGCTATCTGTGGTGGTGATGTGAAGGGACCCCCAAGAGCAAGCACCAGTGACCCCACACCTGGAGGAGGACTATGTCTCCAGGCCCTGGAGCCCCTCCACCTTGATAATAGCATGTGACAGGAAGAGGGGTGGAAGGGGCCTCTTCTAATTCAGAGGTTGGATTTTTTTTTTAATTTCCCTTCAATTTATTTAAACTAAAAAAACAAAGAGACAAAAACAGTTGATTCACCCATTCCTCCCACCCCCACTCCCACCCTCAACTCTTGGAGTTGGGCTGGGGTTTTTTTAGATTACACATAAAAAATGAGATCATA